ATGCCTGACTGGAGCTCGGAACGGTGCCAGCTAGTTATGGGCCGAGAGTGTCATGCTCTGAGCCGGTCTCGTCTGACGGTCAGGCGTGACTCAGGCCAAAGACACGAATAGGAAGATGTATTTCGTCGTTGCTCAACATTTTATTTTACATATATTTTCCCGCGTCTGTTTCCTTATGTGAGTTGTTTGTTCATGTTTTTCTCGGTCTGTCTGTCTGTGTGTTTAACGCTCTCTCTCTCTCTCTCTCTCTCTCTCTCTCTCTCTCTCTCTCTCTCTCTCTCTCTCTCTCTCTCTCTCTCTCTCTCTCTCTCTCTCTCTCCTCTTCTATTCGTAAGCGCCTCCATTCCTTTCCCCTCTTCTCCCCCTCCCCGACTCAGTAACCTAATGCCTTTTGCGCCTCTTTTTCCCGCAGTGGTCCCGGGAGTGCTGAACCAGATATACGCCCTCTGCAGCTCCACCTTCGACATCGCTAATATCTACAACTTCGACGCCGTAGGTTCCTCCTGCGGCCATCGGAAAATTGCGGAGAGTGGGAGAGTGGGAGAGGGGGAGAGTGGGGGAGGGGGAGAGTGGGGGAGGGGGGAGGGGGGAGAGAGGGATAGAGGGGAGAGTGGGAGAGTGGGAGAGGGGGAGAGTGGGGGAGTGGGAGAGTGGGAGAGTGGAGTGCATGAGAGGAGGCGTTCGAGATTCTGGAAGGATGTGGATGAGACACGTTATAAAAAACATATATATGGTTTGGGGGGGATAGGTGATGTTAGTGTGTGAGCCGGTTTACCTTCCTTTCCAGATCACCCTTTTCTCTCCTTCGGTTCCTCCTAAAGCGTGATTAATCCTTGGGAAGGTCTCTCACCTTGACATTTCCTCCACGGTAACAGATTTACATTTCCACACTAATGAAAGATCTTCGTCATGCTTGGTATATATTTGACGTCACAATATCACATAGCAACATATGTAGTATTTCTTGCCTTCCCGGTCGAAAGCTACACGTCGACTATCCACGGTTTGAGACCTAACTGTCGCTAAAAGTTTCTGTAATTTGTATTGTGGTCTTTTTAATACAGTAAGGCCTACGCTGCTCCCGGTTATCAATGTGAATCGTTGAGGAAATCGAGTCGGATTTCATGATGAGATAGATGAGTGATGGACAGTTGCAGATTACGCGAGATGACTCTGCATTTATAGTAACGTGATTTTTTTTTTCGTAGCACCTGTTCACGAATTAGTTATGAGTTTCGCTAAGTCATTGGTCCATGAAATATGCTTTCAATGGTTACAATATTTTGATAATAATGATCCTCCATTAACGTTTTGTGAATAGTTCCTCATATCCAGTCCTTCGTCCTCCTCCTCCTCCTACGCTTCCCAGAAACTTTCGGTGACGTTTTCTGTATCTACCAGTAACCTAGGGACCTTTCAATGTACATTTCAAATGCCGTGCCCTAGACTTATTCAAAATATTCCATTAAGGCGTAGTTATATCCCACAGAAAATACCATACATGCAGTAATCACGTCAGTATATCTTCATATATATTTATTCATTCATTGCATGTGCATGCGTCTGTATTTTCTGGAGTGATGAAAAGTTGAAAATAGTAGTCCGTTCAAAGGTGTTCTTAGACATTTGCCTAAAAATACGTTGATTTTATTTTGTTAGTTTGAACTATAACATAAGCATCAATGTGTTCGTGTTAATGGCCTACAATTATACGGCAGAATGTAGTAACATGAATATACCATCATATATGTTAAAAATGCGTTCAGTAAACTCATTTTGAGCATTTAATCTGAGAACACCATAGGACGTACACGGCTTCATATGTTACAAACTCTTGCATATATACATTTACGAAAAAAATCCTTGGCAGAAAGCGCGTCAGTGTCTGTGGAAGCCTATACCAAGGATCATTAAAACTTGTAAATGTCAAAATATGTCGCTCGAATGACTTTCAGAATTCATAATAGGGATCACTTGGCATAGACGACGACTCATATGCTTTGTCTCGATCATCACATTATCCCGACAGGAATATGCGCATCAGGCCGAAGTCGGAGCCAAGCCGGACACACCCGTCATCTGCGGCCTATCCTACCTCGTGCCCTTCGATCTTGCCAACATAGGTGAGTTTGTTTGTTTGTTTTTTTCAATTTTTCCTTTTAGTTTATTATTGTTATTGTTCATTAAAAAAAAATCATCATTATCAGTTCCATTTCCCTCTTTGTCTTCGCCATTTTTATTGATATTATGAAAATAGGATTACTATTAGTAATGATGATAATAATGATAATGATAATAATAATGATGATAATAATGATAATAATAATAATGATGACAATAATGATATTAGTAATCTTACTACTACTACTAATAATAATAATAATAATAATTATTATTATTATGATAATATAATCATCGTCTTCGTCATCATCCTTACTGTCATTGTTATCAACATCGTCGTCGTCATCGCCATCATCACCATCACCATCATCATCATCAT